ATAAAAGATTTAGAAAAAATTGTTGAAGAAGAATAGTATAAAATGCTAAAAGAACTTTGTGAAAGACTTGTTTGTTCATTTCCAAAAAGAGTTGAAGAACTTTTTAAATCTAAAGGAAGAAATACAATGTATTAAAATAAACTGTCTCATTTATTTTTTCCACTTTAAAATTTTTTTCACAACATGTATTTTTTTATATCATAATTTTGTATAAAATCTTTTTAAATTAGATGCTATATTATAAATAAAAGATTATTTAATATAAAATTTTATTAAAATACTTTTTTAAACAAAACTTTAAGTTAGTCTCATTTTTATTTTCCACCACTGTATTAAAAAATAGAAATGGTTTTAATAATACATTATATGATGTCATTTATCAAAAATATAATATGTTTTTAAACATACTAAAAAATTTAAGTAAAAATGATATATGTTGAAAAGATTATAAGTTTTAAATAAAGAAAATAAGGAAAGAGAGAGAAAAGACACATTGCTCTTTTCATTACAAGATTTTAATGAAATTAGTTATATTATACAAACTTTATAATTAAAAAAATGACTAATATCAAAATCAAACCTACAATAATAAATCACAGTTTATATTAACTGTAACGCAATTCTCAAGTTGTATAAGAATATAATGAAAATATTTAAGTTGTTTTTAAATATATTCAAAGAATTGAATATTAAAAAATAGAATCGGTTTTTAAAATACAGTTTCGTTTTCTTATAAGATTTTCTGAAATAAATCTTATTTTTCAAAAATAAAATTTTTAAAAAATAGCTTGTATCGGAATCGAACCTACAACTAACAAAAACTACTCAAGTTTTTATGAACTCGGAGTGTTCTACAGCTTATTGAAAATTCTTATAAAATATTTATATTGTTTTTTTAATTTACATAAGAATTAAATATTTAAAAATAAATATTGTTTTTATAATACTGTTACAAACTTTAAATTTTTTAAAAAACGGCTTATATCAGAATCGAACCTAAAAAAACCAACCGAGTTATTATAAACTCATTGGAATTTATTTTAAATATATATAATTTTGTTATAATATTTAAACTGTTTTTATAAAATTTATTTAAAAAACTGAATATTAAAAAAAATGATTTTTCTAATAGACTGTATGATGTCATATATTAAATAAAAACATATATTTTAAATATACTAAAAAATTAAACTAAAAAAGATAAAGTGGCTTTCAAAATAAAAATTCACACCCATTTTTTCTTCTTAAATAAAAAAATATAATAAAATTATCACATCGGCATCAGCTGATGATGTGACTAGTTTAAATTAGTCGATTGAAACATATGTAATTAATTTAACTCTTTTTTAAGTGTTTAGGGAAAAAAAATCTAAAAAAATGATCATAAACAAAAATTTAAATTTTATTAAAGTTACAAAAACCCATTACCCATGCAAGGCAGGACAAAAATAGAATTGTTTTTATTGTTTTTAATAAATTAATAGAAAATTTTGACTTAAAACCTATATTTGGTTTCTAAAAAAGCTTAAATTAAAAAACCAGTAATAATTTTTTTAAAATATTATATTTCAAAATAAAAACGCTGTTATAAATTCCTCAAAAAAATCATTTAAAAGTAAATATAATGATTTTTTTGTATGATAAAACATTTAACAGAATGTCAAAAAGCTTTGTTAAAAAAAGATATTAATTCTAGTCTTAATCAAAGTTAAATAACTCAAAAGAGAAATACTTCTAGAAATATGTGCAAAGATCTTTTTTCAAGTTAAAAAATGGTGAATTTTATGTAAGAAAGAAAGGATGTGGTCAAAAGAAATGCTTTAACCTATTCATAAAATGTTTTTGGTTAAAGTACATTCTAATTATCATTTTGTTACTCTACCAACCTTACAATTAAAATTATTAGATAGAATTAATTTGAATATAAGTAAATCAACTCTATCTAGATTCTTCAAAAATTTTGTTTCGTTACAAATCATTCACTAAAAAAACCGTTATTGAAGGGTGTTAATATTGAAAGTGAATTTCTAGATTAATCGAAGTTTAATGTATTTAATAGTGATGGAACAAGATATGTTCGATTCTTCCTAAAGAGAAACATAAAATATCAAATATTTTACCAACAATTAAACATGGTAGAGAAAATATTTTTTTATATGACGCAATCTCATATTATGGTGTTTTTAATTAGTTTTTATTGAAGACATGATGACTGGAGGTGAATATATATCAATATTAGCAAAACATTTGTTCAAATTTACTAGAAAATACCAGTAAATTGATTTTATTTTCTTGCAGGATAATAATCCTAAACACAATTCAAGTGTTGTTTTAAATCATCTTAATGAAATGAAAGTAAATTTGTTAACTGTTTCTATAAAGTCTAATTTAAACCCAATTGAGCATGTGTGGGTTTACATAAAGAGAAAATTGGCTAATTTGGATAAATTAACAAAAAGAGAATTAAAAGAAAAAATAGAAATATTTTATTCAAATAATTTTGGTGTGTTGTAGAACTATTTAAAAGCTTTCATAAACGTAGTTAAGAGGTTTATAAAGTAAAAAGTATACACATATGTTATAAAATTTATAACTACCTTTTAATTTGAAATATAATATTTTAAAAAATTTTATTCCTGATTATTATTTTAAAATTTTTTAGAAACCAAATATAGTTTTCAAGTTAAAATTTTCTACTAATTTATTATAAACAATAAAAACAATTCCAATTTTTATATTTTTTTACTTAAGAAGAAAAAAAAAGGGTGTGTCTTTTAATTTTAAAAGCTTTTGTATGTGTTAAAAAAGAAATTAAGTTTACAGATAAGGAAGATAAGAAAAGTGAAAGAAGTACAACATTACTTTTTTTATTATATGGTTTTAATGAAATAAGTTATATTTTTCAAACCATAAAATATTTTTTAAAAAATGGTTTATATCAGAATCGCACCTGTAATAATAAATCACAATTTATGTTAACTGTGAACAAATTAGTAATATTATAAAATAATACAATAATGTATTTAACTTAATAATAAATATTTTAAGAATTAAATGATTAAAATATAAATAGTTTTTTTAATAGAGTTCTCATTTTATTACAAAATTGTTGTGTTATCCATTTTATTTTAAAATATTTTAACCCTTGTTTTATGAAAAATAATGATAACAATAAACTAGATTCAAACAAAAATATCAATAAAAGAATTCTTATTTTCCAAACTTAAAAATTTTAAAAATGGCTCATATCAGAATCGAACCTACATCAATAAATCACAGTTTTTATTAACTGAGAAGTAATTACAGTAGTGTTTAAAAAAAGAACCAGGTATTTTTTGAAAGAAAACATTAAAAAAATATATTCTATGCGAAATTTATATGATTATCTTGCTTTTAAACACATAAAGTAAATTTAATATGAAAAAAAATCAAAAAATTGATCAAATAAATTATACTTTTA